ACAGGGGCGGATCCAGCCTGCCAGAAAAGGGGGGGGGGCGCAATCTGCGAGGGAAGCAAGCAGCCTTAGGTTTGGGGCCAGGGGGCCACCTAGGGCCCCTGGCGTGGTCCAGGGGGGCTTGAAGCCCAGCACATTTGAGGAATATGAGGGAAAAAAAAAATTGTTTTGTACTGCCATAAAGTTATGAATTTTACCTCTTTAACTAAGTGTTTAATTACTTTGTTTAAGCATCTACATAGAATAAATTCACCTGCCTTTCCTAGATAACACAATCTAGCCCAGATCTTAGTCAAGCAATCATCATTAGGCCTATGTATACATTTAGGTTCATTTAATTTATTGAGTACATGGTTAATAACTTTCAAAGGGTACCCATTCCATGACATAAATTTTCTAATGTTACAAAGTTCAGCTTGAAGTTTATGTGCTCTTGAAACTAAACTACGAATCCAAGAAATCTTATGGTTATTACTTTTAGTTTTTGTTTTAAAATATATGACTTTCATTTAATTCAGATATTTTATACTTTCTTGTTTCAAGGAGAAACAAATTGCCAATCAAACTATAGACTGTTTATTCTAATCTCACCCAGCCTATTGTTTCCAATCATGCTTGCATGAAATTCTCACTTTATACCATCTAGCGTTTTCTACCCTCACTCACTCGCCACTGAGGAAGGACTAGTGTTGTCTGAAAGCTCTGGTTCTATTTCTGGCTGTTTACTTATGTTTACTTTTTAGCTGTTGCTTATCATTTTTGTATCTCTACTGAGATCCAGCTATTGTTTCCCACAGCATTGATGTTTTTCAGTATTTTGCCTTTTAATTTGCGTCTAATGTTTTTTTGTATGTGTCAAATTTATAATACATAAATAAATAAATAGTACGGTACTTCATTTCCTTTTTTTCTTCTTTTTTTTTTTTTAGATATGCCTTCACCATCATTTCCAATATATTAGTGTATGTAATCTGTTGGGTGCTTATAGATGCTGTTATGGTGTCCAAGAACGGAAATCTTTCCCCAGCCGACAAGCCTCAGTTTATGGTAAAATTACATTTATACATTATTGGTATTAACCGTGTAGGCTGGGGAAAGAAAATGCATTTTAGGGAACATTGGTTGAGGGTGGACTGGGTAAAAGTGATGATATAGAGCTGGAAAGAGAGGGTGTATGGTGATGTTACTAAGAAAAATTGACATTTATTATGTATGATTTATATATTTTCTTTTTTATTTGTGACTTTTAGCAATTGTCATTCATAGTGGTTGGGATTGGACTGGTATTTGCATTTATCTTTCACATTGGAACCAAAGAAAAGCCCTCAGGTGTGCACGGATATTCAGGGGGTGACTCCATCCAGGTAAACAGTCCCATTAAAAAGCCTATGAAGTGGAGATGCTGGCTGAAACAGTCTCAATTCCACCAGGTGAATATCGACTTGGCTTTACTCACATTTTGTTTTCCCAGCTAGTGGAAAGGACACAATTAAAGGTTATTCATTTATATTGCGCAAAAAATGTGCAATGGTAATTATAAGCGCAATTAATTAGCCAACATTTGTATGAACACTGGATTTCAATGTAATATTTGAATTCTTGAGGGTTTCTCTAGCACAGTCGATCACCTTCATAAATTTGTCTTTTTCCCTTTTTCCTAAGTTGCCTTGATGCACATGTTTTTTTTTTCCCTAGGTTGCCTTGGTATACATGTGTGCCAGATTAATGGTGAACATATCACAAGTTTACATTCCAATGTATCTTTTAGAAAGTTTAAAATTAAATAAAGTAAGTACTTTTATTCGATGTTATATCTTGCAATTTTTAGATTGTTATCTGTCCCATCGTATGAATTAAAAATCATAATGTTGGTGATAATGATGGTGATTTTGATAATGATGCTGATGAGGATGGTGATGTTGTTTTTGATAATAATATGAGGATAATGATGTTGAAATAATACAATTTTAAATATTTTGGTTTTTTTTACATTCTTTCTTTTTAAGGACTCAATTGCCATCATTCCATTAGTAGTGTATGTCAGTAGTTTTGTGGCATCAACATTTGTTAAGTTTTTAAATGATCATTTGGGAAGGAAGGTAAGTTTATCAAGAGCTTCTCATAGTAGTTACCTTAAGCTGGGCACTCGCTGCGACCCGACAGTCGTCAGCTGACGGGATTCTATAGAGAACGCCATGCCATGCATGCGACGGATTGTTTTTAATGACGATCCGTTCAAACCGTTATCGACAATCAAAAAAAAAACGGCGTCACGTCGTTAAACGCTCGCAGGGAGCAGAGTTGGATTTGTCGTATGACACAGTGAGCCTCCCGCTTTAGACTCTAGAGCCTGGTTCTCACGAGAGCCCTAGTATCCGGATCGGGAGCTAACCGTTAACGCTAGCACCTGCTGATGATAACGGTTAGCAAGCGCTATCGGTTAGCAAGTTGAGCGCGTTTCTATTATCAACCAATCACACGTACACGTTTACAATTTACAGTTTTTTATTGGCCAGTGATTCGATCATCATATTCTTGGTATCTGGATCGGAATTTTCTGGTATGGACGCACGGCAGCTGCAGGATTCGGATCCTGCTAACCGTTAGCTGCCGTGTGAGAACATAGCGTATGAGATTATAGCCACAATGTAATGTAATGTTCTCCTAGGACATTGTTGCTTGGTTGCACAGATTATTATGTGGTCTTAGTACCAACATGGCCATTACCAGCCTTAACTGAGCAAATCCATTGTGCTTGTCTCAAGTTAAAGGTAGACCCAGCAGTCAATACTCCTATTGGTCTTCACTCGCTGTGTGTCTGTCAAGCGTCAAGCTTGTGTAACAGATACAAATTTGCACACAGTAAGAGAGTGAGTGGGTAATGTTCCACACAGCATTATGCATTGCAATTGTGTAAGTCATACAGTGACAATTCGCAAGGAAATTTGATTTCACAATTTTTTGTAAACTAATGCTTTTATGTTGCAATAACAGGAAATGCTATTGTTATCTGCATTTTTGATGTTATATATTTTATTTCATTGTATAATTACATTTGTCGGTGAAATCAATGATGAAATAAAAACAATAATGTTAAGGCCCAAATAACCATCTCTGCTGCATTAATAAGTCATATGGATTTAAATAAATAAAAAAAGTGATGTGTTAAATAAATATTTGTTGTTTCATTTTCCAGATAACCTATGGTTTGGGGGCACTGTTGGTTCTTGGTGCCTGTATTGGCTTCTATATCCAAAATATTGGCAAATATGTGTATATACCAACAGTGTTACTTGGAATTGGAGGTTCTACTGTTCTGGTGACCTCACTCTCTATGACAGCTGACCTGATTAATCTCAACACCGTAAGTGAAATGATGTGAACATGTACAGGTAGCTACTATAAGTGCTTCTTTACGGTTGGTAGGTAGTCACAGACCACGCCCATACGGAATCCAGCACAATGATGCTGCGAGCTGTGGGTATTTTTTTACCTTTACCTTTAAGTTGTTTAACAGACAGAGTAGTTAGTGTACATTATGTATATTTTTTGTATTGTTTTAAAATTATCTTAATTGTTAAGTTGTGGTGTACTCATTAATTCAAATTTGTTTTAGTGTTTCAAATTTCTATTACCATTTTTTATAGTCAATATTTTACAATTGTAAAAAAAATTATGGTAATATTTATCATTTTTCTTCACTATTGTAATTACTGTTATGCTTTTAATTGTTATATCAATATGTTCATAAATAAAGAATTTTTTAAATCTGATATCAATTTTAACTTAACAAAATCTTAAAACTTCGTAAAATAGGTTTTTTTTACCTCAGAAACCATATTTTTACACATGGTATACCAGTACCAAAAGTTCTATGATTTTGTTGTTGATACTCACCATGCAAACTTTCAAGAAATAATTTTAACACAGCTTTTGTTAATATTTTAAGGAGAATTGTGCATTTGTGTATGGAGCTATGAGTTTCACAGACAAGCTGTCAAATGGAATTGCAATTGCTGTTATACAACAGATGCACCCTTGCAAGTATGTTCTAAATACAATTTCCAAAAATTATCCAAAAAAAACGCAAAGAAATTATAAATTAAAAACTACAGTGTATTAATCATGCAAGTGAAATTATACTATCTATTCACGATACTAGAAATACTCTCCAGGTAGCAGAATATTTGTTTTATTGTATTTTAATGATTTTGTGGCAGTCCCTAATGATAAACATGAAATTCTACATTAACTAATGCTTAAATAGTGGAGTTGTTTAAAAAGTGCTTGCGACTTGGCCCCTGGAATTGGAATCCAGGCATTTTAACTGCCGAACTACAGTTTTGTGCCCAGACATGTTTGTGTGTTTATCAAAAAAAAAGAATTATCCTGGTCAATGGATTATTACATATGGAACACATACTCAGTCTCTGAATATATTTCTTCCTTTGTTTTTTTTTTATTTTAACAATTTAATGATTAAACTGTATTTACTTTATTTACAAGGACCTCTGCTTGTTGTGCTAAATGTGCATGGTTTTACCGTGACATTCTGTCGTTTGTACCTGGAGCAGCGGCAGTACTTTCCCTATTGGTTCTTCTCACCTTAATTCCGGTCAATATTGGCAAAAGAGGTAATCAGTGTTAATATTTATAATTACAATTTACAAACGTGGTTTTGCAGAATTATGAGGTTCCCGAATTGGAGGGTGAATTGTAATTAAAGTTTTTAATATTTTTAATGTATTTCATATTCTATTTAATGAGAACTATGATGATAATAGTGAGAGTGGCAGTTATAATGATGATGATAATTATCATCGTTATCTTCACCACCAACAATCATAAAAAAAATGAAATTTTCTTAATTTACTATTGATATTATTATTTATTTATGATATTGGAATTCAACTTATTTGATGTAAATGAAATTTTTTGTACTAACAATAATTTTAATTAATATTTAATATGTTTAATATATAATATTTAAATTATGTAATGAGTAGTAGTGTAACAATTTTGTTTATCAACAGTTAATTTAAGTAATTTAAATTATAGCCCTAAATCTTTTCTTTTAATATCTTATCTCTTTGCTTTTTTTAAATTTGATGTTTGTTTGGTGTCTTTTTTTATGATTGGTTTCTGTTTATATATTTTATATGTGCATAGACCAATAAAGTTTATCAGATCTACCTTATCTTATCTTATTACTGACAGTTGAATAATTTGATCTCTATTTTTAGATGGTGTCACTCCAGATGATGTTACCGATGATGAAAGAAAAGCGCTCCTTTCAGGTACAACAAACAAAGAATTGTATGACTCTTACAACCAACCAGCCTCAAACGCCACAGCTTGAAAAGTGCCTTCAGTTACAAGGTTCCAGCTTTTAAAAGGAAGCTTTGAATACAATGGTCAGCATGATAATGGTTAAGATGATGGTGGGAATGGTTATTCTGATGATGATAACAGATAGTGATGATGATGATGAGCATGAGAATGGCATGTTTGTGATGATAGAGAACAAGAAATTGATAAGTGTGATCATGGAGCTTTATGATTTTGATGAGAGGAAACCATTATATTGTTGGCTGGGAAAGCTTAAGAAATTCTGACTTCAAATACTTCTGGCTTGTATGATCTCCGGTACCCTGGAGAACATTGTAAATATATAAGCGAATATAAATTTTTCGTGTTTTTTTTTACCCTCAAAAAGACAATGATGATGATAATGCCATTGTTGTGTTGATAGACAAGAAGAGTATAATAAGCAACATTTATATTTTGTGATAATGATAACGGCAGTTGGTGTTGTTAGTTGATGGTAAGAATGATGAGGATGATAATGTTGATGTTAGTGAACACAGTTGTTGTAGATGATGATGATGAATAAGGACTATATTGATGACAATGAAATGGTTGTGATAATAAGCTGAGCTTTGCAACTTGACTCAACTGACCTCAATTGACCTTTGTGAGGTGACACAAGCACTCTTATGTCCTGTTGAGCTCAGTTGCCCATGTTGTATTTTGTTGTGATTCAAAGCAAGCGATTGAATGGTCGAGTAATGTATCAAATTATGGTTATGTTGCATAACCATAATTAGTTAATCTGCAGCTCTACCTGGTTGCTTTTAGTTGTAGTAGTCAACATGAGCACTACCAGCTACTAGCTGAGGTCAGTCGATGTTGATTTTGTTGAGTCAAGTGGCAAGGGCAACATAAGCTTAGCTGTAGCCAGAAAGAGTACATAAAAATTATATAGTTGCAGTTAGTGTGTGTTTGATGTTATATTTTACATATATTTTTTTACTTGTCATAGTTGAATAACATCCACACAAAGATAAAAGATCCTAATGATTCAATCAAAGGTCAACAAAATTTACAAAAATCATATTTTGTGGGTGGGGATCGTCATGTAGTTAAGATAAGTATAATTATGATATTTTTATGATACAGATAATGGTAAAGAAGAGTATAATGATAGTAATGATGATGTTAATAATATAAATGAAGGAGATGGCACTCCTTTGTGAGAAGGCATAATGATGAGTATTATCTTGCCTGAATCATTTTATACAATTGTTATCATCCTCATCATCATCATTCACAAAATTATATAACATAATTTGACGGGTATTATTGCTCTTGATATTTATGTAACAATATGCACAACTAAACATGTTTTTGTCATCATTGACAGAATTATATTTCATGTTATACTGTTCTGTATAGACATTATGTATTATATATATGAATAATTTATATACATTTAGACCACTCCTGTGCTATTCCTTGGCAATAACATGTATGATTAAAATAACTTACACATACATACATTTTCAAGCAATAGTTAAGGAACTTGTTTGTTGATGGACTATGGCCATATGGTCTTTACACCATTGTTCCTTTATCACAGTGCAATGCAGCAACACAGATTATATTGTTTGTTACTGCACATTTACATACTAGTGCAAATCATTTTAAAAGCCAAATTTGTAATATGCTCTACTTTCTTGCATTGAATGAATGATTAAAGATTGAAACAGGTTATAATACCTTCTTTAGTAATTCATTTTAAATAGAATATTTCAATCAAGTACTTAAGAATTTATTGTAATACTGTATATAAACATACCACTAACTGTGATTACAGTATTTGTATATTTGGGATTATTAGCCTCCCCAAAGGAGCGAAGGTCCAGGGAGGCTATTGTTTTACCCATGTTCTTCTTCATGCTGTTATCATTGTTGTTGATTAATTGTTTGTTACCACAATAACTAAAGTTTGGTAATTCCGATTGGTTTTAAATTGGTAGAATGCAAGGTGGAATTAAGAAGGCGGAGCCAAATTTTTTTGATACTTGTGTGAATATGCTAATTGCTCATTTACATAATTTATATTTCACTAAGGTAATTTAGGCTAGTACCATGATAACTAAAGATTGGTAAGTCCGATTGGTTTCAAAAGTGGTAGAATGCAAGAAGGTAAGAAGAAGAGGGAGCCTATTGTTTTTGGTATGTGTGTAAATATGTTAATTGCTAATTTACATAATAAATATTTCACTAATCAGGTAATTTAGGTTAGTTACCATGATAACTAAAGTTTGGTAATTCCAATTGGATTCAAACTATGTAAGATAGCTGTAATAAGACTATGTAGCCGGTTGTTTTTGGAATGTGTGGGAATATGCTAATTTGCATAATTGATATTTCACCTTTTAGCTTATTTCAAGACTAGTTACAATGATAACTACAGTGTGGTAAGTCTGATTGGTTTCAAACTTTGCACAATGGTGTTAAAAATTTGTTTGCTACGACAATAACTGGAGTTCGGTAAGTCTGATTGGTCTCAAACTCCTACTCATCAGTTCTCAGAAAAAAATCACACCGTGGGGAGGCAATGCTTTACTGTGCAGCCTAAAAGGTGCATTTCTACGTTTCCTTCGTGCCTTGTATTTTAATGTTTTATATTTTTCATCATTTCATTCATTTCTTTACAATTGTTACATGGACATTTGCTAGCTCAGCAACCATTGACTTTTGATTACTGTATTGTTTATATATTATTTGATTGAATATTGTTAGCTGTTTAAGGACAAAAAGAAATTTGATCAGAAGCACGTAGATTAAATAATGTAAAGTGGTTATACTTTAGTACTCCATGGAAATATTCCTCTGAGGTTATCAGAAAATCCCAATATAATTTATATTAATATTTATTTGTTTCAATGTTTAGTAATTTTGATGTGAATGTATGAGACTTGTTTCTAGTGAAAAATTTTGTGATGATTTCACTATGTTTTCGTTTTCTTTATTATTTCCCCATCTAGATGGCCATCGAAAACATCTTGCATATTTAAACATTTTGAATCTGTAAATATTCCATACCTACCTGATTTGTTAGGAGGTGGAATTGCCTCCTCCATTAGAATAATATATATGATTTGATATAAGAATAATAATGTATAATATATAATACAGTATAATGTAATATATATATGTTATGTAACATAAAAAAAATAATTGTATATTCCATGTATATTTTGGTGATAAAATTTAATATATTTGGAGACAAAGCCTAAACATATTGTTATGTTGTCCAATCATACTTCTTTCTATAGGCATAGACTCAATTTCTAGGATTCTTGTCAGCCCTTCAGATGGTACAGATGGTACATGTTATTTCCTTGGCTAAAAACCATTGTTCAGGTATCAAATTATTTGTGATATTTATATTCTGTAATAATGTAATAATATATTGAACCATATGTATGTATCCACTGTAACTGATATAAGCTATCTATTTTTCAATGTTAACTTTTTTCCTATTCTTACCTATATTTTGACTATTACTAATAAATGTGTCACTTTCTTACAGTATTTTGTAAAATGGTATTTATTTGTTCTATAATTATCATTGTGTAGAACATTATATTATTATAATTATGCTGTTAATATGGGCTCAAATATGTACACTTTTGGGTGGGCTGCATGGGATCCGTGATCAGATAGGGTACAGGGACAACACCGCGCCGTATCAACAGCTAAAATTAACTTTCCAGATGAACATAAAAGAATTGTTGCATTTTTTTTTGACTTCTTAATAGTATATAAGCCTACTGTTTTTGTTTGTTTTTTTTTTTTGTTCTGTGAAGGAAAGATTAATAAGACAATAATTAACATTACATTTTTAAATGGTCTGAAAATAAAAGAGTAAAATACTTAGGACTATGTAAATTATTATCTCTAATAACGCGCAATTAACATCACCACGTTTGTGTGATGCGTATTGACATAATAGATCACCCCATGGAATCAGATTCGTAACAACAAACTGCTCCCATGACGGACAACATGTTAATGATAATACAAGAAAATTGCCTCTATTTACTTTACATAAAAAGAAGAAACAACCATGAATATCCCAATACTACAAAGAAAACGAATAACAAAAAACGGCATAAATGGCAGAAGAATCATTTCCACTGCTCCGTTTTCCAGCACTTTGAAGCGCCTAAAGTTAGGGGCTTGCTGGAACAATATTCACAGAGGCTCTTGTTAAAATGATGTCTCTAGCTGAATCCCCTCTATCCTACCTACAATTTAATAAATAAGCTATGAGAGCAAGATTACTGAGTGGCTAAACAAGAGGCGAAAAATATGTTTCAAAATAGGTTTTTTAATGGACTTCTTAAAAATTCCAACTGAAGTTGAATTTTGTATATCGTCAGGAAGTTCGTTCCATAAGTATGTAGATGGATCGGATGATAAAATGTAATCAGTTTATCTCTGTAAGCCAGAGATTTTGAACACATGGCCTTGTAGGTATTGAACTGTACTACCTACCGGGTAGTTCTTTTCTGAAAATGTATTGTGTTTTTCATCCGTTTGGTTCCATTTTCAAGGACTTTAGTTCGAAAGATCTGCCTATTTGTTTACTTAGGAAGACATCCGTACGTTTCATTAAAGCTGAATTGGATTATAATTTCTTACACTACACAATACTATAATTATAACTCATAAACGTGAAATGTTTACTATATATAATATAAATACAAATAGAACATGGTTTGTAATATCATGGAGGAAAAATTTTGCTGACCATGTAATAGTGATAGTCAGCTCCTAGGACGACTATGCTTGTGAGCCGTGCTCGGATAGAAACCCAACAACAAATTCTATCAATAAAAGTCACCTGCTCTGTTGATACTAACCCAGTGTTTGATGATTTATATATTTATTATTCATTAGAATAATCATTTTTTCACTATAATTTAAATGCAAGTGCTTACATTTTCGAGTTTATAACGGCTTTACCGCTCAGGATATTTCAAACTTAAGTAACAAAAAAATCAACTTAAATTCGTCTTAAATACATAAATCTCAGGCCAGGTTTTTATCACAGAAATGTGATAATGCATGGTTCAATTAGGTTTTTATGCTTTCGCAAGCTTTTATTTTAGTTTCGTTTAATACTACTACTAGTAATAATAATAATAATAATAATAATAATAATAATAATAATAATAATAATAATAATAATAATAATAATAATAATAATGAACGATGAAGATGATGGTGATAATGATTAATGTTAATAATATTTAAAAGTGCTCAAATCAGCAAAAAATGTTAAGGTTCCTCTGTGACCCTCCCCCTTAGATTTTCTTTAACAACATTTAAAAATACCTTGATTTGTCGAAAAAAAGAATCAACGTTTCAGCTTCCATTTCTAAGCGGTTTTTAACTTAAGACATTTTTTAATTGTACCACCCCCCCCCCCCACCTTTTTTTTGGACCTGTATCCGGTCGGGAAAGTGAATTTGTGGGCAAACTTTAAAGGGGCAATGTCACATGTTTAAACGACCTGTGTGCTGCATAGATGCAGTGTACACACGTGCCCCTGTTTTACATTGAATTGTCACTTTAAACGTTTTAAGCGTACATGAACCTCAGTTTAATTGTCCCCCTGTATTGAATTCTAAATTATTTTCATTTATTTTGTTCTAGCATCCACAGCACGCAACAGATACAAAAATCTTCCTGTAGTTTTATAGAGAAACGTTCATACTGTACTTGTGATTTAACGAATATCGGGTGACAATTTAACCGTAAACTTTAGTGTTAACAGATAATTACAAACAAAATCAATAAAATATTTTTAAAATATAAAACGATTGTAAAACATAAATAACCCACAATTGATTAAAATACAGGTCTCCCTCCAATTTAAACCACTTTTGGTACCGGTGTTTCCAGGATCTTTATCAGCTTTGGTTCAAATTAGAATAATAAAGATAAAAGATATTTGTTGATTTGGGACCACAGAAAATAAAGTGGTCTTTAATTGGAAGGGTTAATTGGAGAGTGTTATATAGAGTATTTATAATGCAAAAGACACCCATAAAAAGTAAAAGCTCAATCAATCCAAGCCAATTATCCATCCCCACAGCAGACATCCGTAGATAGTGATTACTCTCGTAACTGATCGTGTGGATGTGGGCCCGGCAACTTTCACCGTGCTTGTAAGTGCAAGAAACACAGCCCTAAAGCAAATGATTTTATAAACGTGCGCTTTATACTCAGAAATTTAAAAAATTATTTTATACAAAATGGAATTTTAAACTGATAAACGGGAAAAACCAATATAATCGATTCCAACTATAACTTTGAAATGCTGATTTTTAAAAAAAAATACAATTTAGAAGGAAATTTCTTTCAACAACAGATCAATATTTTTCTTTTTTCAGACGTTTCCCCAGTAAAATCCTTATAGGCCTATTTGCTGGCATAGACTATTAAAAATGTTTACATGTGCGTTGGTGACAAAGAAATTTTTATAAAATTGTTTTTCGGTTAAATGTAAGTTAAAAAATAAGGTTCAGATTCACTCTGAATGTTAAACTTTTAACTTTAGTACGGTAACCTCAGAAACAGGACTGTAAATCTGACGAGAATACATTTGACATTGGCCCATATTGTGTAAACAATCTGTCAGGAATAATTAGTGGCGGTGTCGACGAGGGGTCGGGTATGGTCAAACGTCCCCGGAGAGGTTTAAAATCTAGAAAACCCCCCAGACTCAACACATTTAGAATACGCCCCCTGAATAATGCACACTCTCAGTAAATGCTTTTTCAAAGAAGTGTCCTAACTAAATTATGTAGGGTGGGGGGAAGGGCAAGTTTTCCCGATGAGGAACTTGTGGCCACGCCCACCTAGTGGAGATGCCGTCAGGGAAAAATTCCCGCATCTCCCCCCCCCCCACCACCCCGTCCTCGGTGACGCCACAAATGACGTCATCTGACCAAAATATTAATTTGCCTATCCAAATAACGTTATTTTGATGACCAATCCTTAATAAAATATTAGTCATCTAAAAGCACATTCGCCAAACTAAAGCCATTAAAACCCTTCCCTGCTCTACCAGGAAATTTATTCCGGAACCCTGACCAGATTCTAGTCGGCCCTTTGCTGTCGGGCCCAGTTGGGAAATCCTAATGTTTGTTTTTGTGTTTTGGTTTTTTTTTTGGTTTTTTTTTTTATTTGATTTGTTTGTTTTTTTTTTGTGTTTTTTTTTGTAATATCCTAATGTTTTATTTATATATTATATTGTAGTAATGGTTTTATTTTTTTTTTTTTATATTATGGCGTGTGCAGTTTGTTTGTCTAAACTTTAAACTGTAAAACGTTAATTTGACTAACATATTGACTTTTGTTGCAATTCCAAGGTTTTTTTTTTTACTTTTTAAAGTATATTTCTTTTAATGTTTTGATATTATATTGTAGTAATGGTTTTATTTCTTTTTATTTTTATGATGTTTTCTATTTTTATTAGAATGTTATTTGTTTAATTTGTAATGTGATTTCAATTTGTGAATAATTTGTATACAGACCTTAAATTAATAAAATATTTTATAGTAACAATTTCAATATTTATATTTGGTAATACATTTGAATGATTTGTTTATTTTTTTAAATATTATATTGTGGTGGTAGTTGCTTTTTAAGTAATTTGTAATTATATTATCATGTTTGTAAATTAATGTCCCAATTCAGTTACATTAATTCTTTTTTTGTTAACTGCGATGACATTTCTTTTTTATGTCACTTTATAAATATACCAAGATATTGTAGAGCCACCACCAGAAACCCTCACTGACGTGCGCCACCACTGCAGAGAATGCTTTTCACAAAATATTATTAACCTGGGTAATGGTTGCTGGGTAAAGGGTTACGGTACTTTTACGTACCGAAGCCTAGTACTTATAGTACTTAAAACTGTAACATCATTTTTTGGCTTCTGTGTGAGGACATGGGATATGTGTTTGTCGCCCTCTAAACCACATTTTGTTACACATTACGCGTGTGTACGCTTCAGATAATCAACATGGCGACGATTGTAGCGGGTTGAAATATGAATTTATTATCTTAGCTAGGCCTATGGCATGACTATTTATTCATCTCTCAAGCTCCCTAAATATCTACTTTGGATAAGGTGAGGGAAAAATACCTTTTAATTAAGAATCGAACGTCAATGTTGCAGCTCTAGGCCCAACAATTTATTGCTAGGCCTAGACCCATGGTCGTCGGGTTTCTCATCTGTCTTCTTGTGGGCTCGAGTGGTTAGCTGAGTCTAGTTAGCGTGAGCCGAACAGTCTGGCTAGCAGTTCCTACTAGGCATATCCTGCTGTAGTTGTAAGAACAGAAACTGAGGATCATCAGAGCCAAGTAATAATTTCAGAAATGGGTCGCGATCATCACAGAAGCAGCAGAAAGAAAAGCAAGAAGAAAAGTTACAGTAAAAGTGAATTGAAAGAATCAAGCACAAAGTTTAATGTCGGAAGTTTGCAGCAAAAACTAAAGTCTCTGAATAACACTCAAGATAGTGTCCAGTCTGTTTCTTTATGGATTATTCATCATAAAAATCATGTTACCAATATTTTAGCAACATGGCTTCAGGAAGTTAAAGAGAGTAAGTATCATGTCAAATTTTTGTACTGAACCAATGATTTAAGTAGAAGAATAGGCTAATATTAATAAAATCAAAAATAGAAATAGAAAATAAAAAATATTAATAATGAATAATAAATAAAGGGTCAGCCAAAATTTTGAAAAAGAGAACAAAAATGTTTTGTTGTGTGTAGCCCTATATTTTTTGTCAATTTTTCTATATTTTCAACTGTATTTAATTTGAGAATTTTTTTATGTTGTCGCCATAGCCAGAATTGGCTGTTCGCGCATTTAACAGAGATGAGAAAGTGTGACATTAATAAACAAAATCTAACAATTTACATTTTTACTTGGTCATTAACATTCTATCAGACGATGTTCCTTCATCCTTTTTAGATGTGTCCATATACAGTTTACTAACAATTGAAATGTTTATACACCCTGTGGGAAAATGTGCCAGTGATTGTATAATATTACTACACTTTGTGTATACTGAGTCTACTGTACTGTAACTTCAACTGCAACATATTTATTCATTCAAGGGATAACCAACACAACATTGTTCAGAGTTCGAAAATATAACTCTAAATTATGTTATGAAATGACGATGCCACATTAGTTTGTGTGCATGTGCCTATTACGTGATGTATAACATACGCAAACTGTTTAGACTGGACATACGTATCATTAACATCCCTGGAGGCACTTGGAAATTATGTTTAGTATATTATTTCTGCACTTAATGCTTACAGTACTCTAGGGTTGGAGGCATTTTATGAAGATTGTTTTTATGGGTGGAGGCACAATCTTTCCAAGTCTAGATAAAACTACATAGTACCTGAGGTAGTTCATGATTGACTTTTTAGTGGAGCTGTACACCCTTCTGTGGCTTGTGGATAATAAGATGATTGCATTAGTTGAATAGCTTAGTGGTTAAGATGCTTGCCTTTTAATCCCAGCCCAGGGTCCTGGGTTCAATTTCTGTGGTGGCAGGACTTTTTCTCATGACCCAAACAACCCCACTCCCTAGGCCTCAATAAGAGGCGTTTATAAAGCATCATTGCATCCTGTAAGTGGCTAGTGTACTTGCTGTTGGATGTCAAGGAAAAAATACTTACCAAGATTTTTTTTTCTCATGAATAAAATAATTCCACTATCATTAAGTAAACCTCATAATGAGAATTAGTTTATAGGCCCTAAACATTTAAGCTTTAAATTATTCAACGGTACCAAATTTAATCTTATGATTTGACATTAGACCTCAACTGGTCTGGTGTTTTGTGGGTAATGTCCTTGTGGGCTAATTTAATGGTCAGCATACAAATGTAGATCAATATAATGTTTTTTGTATAAAGTTTTTTTTTATGGTATCCTGCTGTACATTAAATAACATTTATGGAAAATTAATTTTTCAAATTCTAAATTAACTCACAATTATGAATGTACAGTAGGCAAAATTTTAGATTCATGGTTTAATTTTCAATAACTGGACCTTGTTAACATTGTCATTTTCACAACAGAATTTATGATGAATCTTAAACAACATGGTAATGATATTATTAAGTTTGGTAATTTACTTATCTAAATGCCAGTTTAAAGGATCTTTTTATAACACCAACAATTGCTAAATTGTTCTACACTTTTCCAAATATTGATTCTTTTGTTGAATGATATAATGGAATAACACAGCTAGATTGTACATAGTATAAAGTGCCATACCACTTGCAAGATTGTTGTATTGACATTTCAGACTAGGAGGAGTAGAATTGTTTAAAATTGTAGAATTTTCAATTGTTTTTAGATGTAACTCAAATTACTCTATAGTACCTGCAATATGCTTAGCATTTCTTCTTTCTAATATAATTCTAAAGCTTTTTAGTTTGTCAGTACAATTTTTATTTTTGTTTAAAAGCACTACAGTAGGTAGCAGTTTGTATCTTGGTAAAAGCTGAAATCATAACACAAATTACACCACAATATCAGTCAGTGTAAGCTGGTAGTGTGACAAACCATTTTTCCTTTTTTTCTATTTCCACTTCATCTTTTCCTCCAATTTTAGTTGTCAGAATATTTTCCATGTATAGGCCCACAGCTACTAGATTTGGCAGGCCCCCTTATATCCTGTCAAATACAGTAATAATATTATTAGTATATAATAATAATATTTATTATAATTAAAACATTGAAAATACTCTGACAACTCAAATTGGAGGAAACGATGAAGTGAAATTAGAAAAAGAAGAAAAAAAATTAAATGGTTGGTGTCACTACCAACTTACACTGATTGGTATAAACATTAGTTTGTGTTATCATTTGTGAATTTTGATGGTAAAATTTCAGTGTGATTTATTATACAGTATGCTCATTAAAATATCTATTGAAAAAGTACAGTAAATATCCTGGAACCTTCATATCTGTAGTACAGTACTTGGGGATTGATTTTGTTTATTACAGGTAGTTGCATTGCTTAACACCTCGACCACCAAGTTATTAATTTTACTCATTGTTTTTGTTGACACACAGTTCTGTATGTACTATACTCAATATAAAGTGATAACATCATCATATCTTTTCTTTTCCCTTTAATTTACACCAAATTCACAGACAACAAAAACAAACTTAGGTTTATGCAGTTTGACTTCTTGCTTTATTGGTTATCCTTAAAATACTTATTTTAAATTTTCTTTTCCGTTGTCAGTATTTTGATATATACCTACAGTACCAGTACAGTAATAGAATTAATATCTGAATTGGATCACATTAACAAAGTTTTTTCTGCCATTCATTGGCAGTAAAGTAACAGCATTATAAATATTTTCTGTACTGTATCCTGGAAAATATAATATCAGCTTCAAATTATTGATTCCTGTATAAAATCTTAATGTCATTTTTCCAATTTTTCTTTGATAATTTAAATCCAAATTCAAAAGATTTTTTACTGTTAAAATTAAAAATATACATAATTTGCAGAATAAATGAATTACAGTATTTACATACTTTTTTCTTGGTAGGTTCTATATCAAAACGTCTGATTCTGATGTACCTTGCTAATGATGTCATCCAGAACAGTAGGCGGAGGGGGATCACAACATTTGTAGATGGTTTTGGAGAAGCCTTCGTAGAGGCTGTATCCCTCTGCAGGTAAGGAGTATTTACTCACTGTCTCCCAAAACCATCTGACCAGTGTTGTAGCTACGCCGGTCGGTGCCGGGTATGACCGACACTAGCATTTGGTAACCGGCACAGAGGCAAATTTTTAAAATTCGACCGGCACAAAATGTGTGTAAACTTAAATTAAATTATCAGTTAAATATGTCAGTCATATAATATCCATATATTCCGATGTGGAAAGTGGGAAATTTTGATCCTGAAATTCTTAATGCGGCCTATATTACACCGGTTATCAACCTACTCTTACAATTCTAAATCATGGACGGCGGCGAACACTACAGCAGCCAGCCAGCTGTCTCTCTCTCATAACATCTAGGCTAGCCCTATTAATTAACTCCACTCCGTAATACCCGGCACTCATATGCGGCTAGCTACAAAACTGCATCTGACCTTACGAATTTGGTGAAGGGCCAAGTACAGTTTGGTGGCTACATCATGTAGACTTCTCATTAGGCTTGATGATTAGAAAATGAAGCAGTGTTGGGTAAAGATATAAAGTAGAACACATACAGCACTTTATTGCACTTTTACTAACTTGAAGTGTACTCAGCTTTCATAGCACCAATTCTGACATCATCACACTGTTACCTAATGAAGTCAGTGTGGAGTGCACATAAAAGCTTTTTTTGTAAATTATTTATGTTAAACCTGGTTTCCTTAAAATCGCTACACTGTCGCTACAATGTTTTCAGTGCAATCTGTGTACTGCGTAGCAGTCCAGATGCAATCGGAACAGCTTCCCGATTCAATCGACCAATCAGCATCACCGAATGCTGTCGGCAATATTTGTGTAGCAGTTGTATGGAAACCAAGCTTTAGTCAGTTAAGTGCTATCTATGTTCTATTTTATAAATCTTAGTTATGTCATCAACTGATAGAAACCAAATAAAAGTTGACCCTTTTGAAAGTTTAAGTTTTTATTACTTTTTGTGTTTATCATTATTTTCTTCTATTTATTAGGGACGACAGCATTAGGAAAAACATAGAGAGGCTTTTTAAGATTTGGGAACAACGCAATATCTATGATAATGATGCCATTGAAAAATTCCAGGATGCGATTTGTAAGAAAAGCTTCTTTTGTTTGTTTTTTAACTTAATGTGCACAATAGAATTGTACTTAATTCAACAGTTGTGGGTGTTATGAAAATTTAGATATCAATGATAGTATATTGAAAACATTTTTAGGATGATACAAATTAAAAATAATGAAAGAGCAAGAAAGGATTCCTTATGTCAAGTCATCACTGTAATCATGAATGTAAAGTATACACACTAACATACCCATCCACACCCCCCCCCCCCCCCCCCCCACACACACACACACACACACACTTAAACAGAATACATTGAGGTAGGCTTATATCTGTATCACTCATGAGTAATTTTTATCTTTATTTTGTAATTACCTTTTACTTGTACTGTATACCACTGAAAGGTTCTTTTATAAACAAACACTACTCTACAAAACACATTAGAATTGAAATGATAGACAACAGATTGGTGTTTTATTTGTATCATTGGTTTTCTTTTTCAGCAACAGAAAAAGATGCCCAGGCTAAAGCAAATGCTCAAATCCTGGTTGAGTATAAGGTTTGTTAATTTATTAATTTTGAGTCTAATTGATTAAAACAATTTTTGAATAAAAATATATTTTTCTTTACTGTTTTAACCAATTGCTCTAAAGTCTCTTTCAGGGACCTGGTTGAGCTGTTTTTTAGGCCTGAAAAAAAAATCCAGCTCCTTGGTTAAAACTCCCAGTATTAGAACCAGCGTCCTGTGAAATCAGCAATGAGAATTATTTCCAGCATCTGGGCATTAGACCCAGCAATCTAGGATTAGATCAAGGACATTAATAGTGAACCAGCACTTGGGGATTGGAACCAGCACCCTAATGTTTAGAACCAGCACCCTATGGTTGGAACGATCACCCAGGCAATGTCATAAAGTATTAGAACCAGCACTTGTGCTTATATCCCGCACCCTATGGTTCGAACCATCACCCTGGCAATGTCATAAAGTATTACTGTAGAACCAGCACCCTATGGCTAGAACTAGCACCCTAGGATTACAACCAATGCCCTAGATTGGACACAACACCTTGGGATTCTGATCAGCGCTATGGGATTAAGCCCAACACCCTGGGATTCAAAGGAATTTATTTAAACATGCATTCCAAACTTTATTCCATACTTGTGACTAATGAGAAATTTTATTTTTTTTTAGCCGGACGAATTACCTGAGAGCATGGAAAAGTTAGTGCATTTTGAAGGAGAGGTTGATTTGAAGAGGAAACAATTATCAAATATGAATGTAGATGTTACAAGTACAGAAGCAATTATGCAATTAAAAGGTATAATGCAGATCATGTTATTACTTTGTTTTGTAATACAGATGATTAGGGTTATTTTTTATTTGTGATTAGTACTCTGTGTTTTGGGCTTACGCAACAACAATGCTTGGAGATACTCAGTGGCGTATCTAATAATGTAGTCTTGGAATGTGTGGTTGGGGTGGGGGGCTGTTTGTAGGTAGGGCACAAATGTGAAGTGGGGCTCAGTGACTAAGGGGGCCCTAGCTTGCAAAATACGAGAATATAAGGCGATTTTTAAGTACATTAGTAATGTAATTTTTTTCCTGCCTGGGAGGAGGGCTCTTTTGGTACCCCTGGGACTACTGGTCTACTAGGCTAGTGAACTATGTTAATAATAATTAATAATAAAAAATAATATTAGTTGGATTTATGTAGCATTTATGCAGCATCAATCAGAACACCGGGCTAACCCCCTGTTCATCTCGTAAGATAGAGTGTTCTTTAAAGTGCACAAGAGCCAATTGTGTACACTGGGCCTACGGTTTACAGTCCCTATCCGAGAAGACTCCAGAACCATAGGCGAGCTTGCTATTCGATCCAGCTCCAATGTAATGGCTGTAGGTTGTGCCCCCCCGCCCCGCCTTACCCGTACTGCCATTCGGCTTGCCAACATAATAATAGTATAAGTGGTTAATTTGGTAACCACTTGCCTAAGAAGAGATGGAACTACTATTTGAGTTTTGTTTTCTAGTGAAAGTTCTAGTACAATTTATTTATTTATTTAAATATGACATTAATAAATAATTAGATGATTCTAAGAACCGTTTGAAGAACCAAATAACATCAATTGAGATTTCTAGCACATGCCACATGGTTTACCAAAAACTGATAGTTGTTAATGTCAATTAGTGATGCAAAACTCTACCTTTAAGATTTATTTTTTTTATTAATTTGTTTTTGTTGTTACTTTCCCAGCTGTATCTCTAATAATAGAATGTATCAGTTGTTATTGCTGTTGAATTAATTCCTAGCATATTGTTTGTTTATTCTTTCCAGATCGAGCTGGTGGTAAACGATTTTCCAAACACTTTGAAGATGCGACGAATAAACTGGATGACTATGTGCAGTCGCTGAGCAAGGAAGTGGAGATGAGGCAAGACCTACTGGAGCTGCTTGAAAAGAGTGTTGTGTTTTATGAAGCTCAGTTTGGAGAAGCGAAAATAGTTGCAAATGTAAGCAGTTAGCTCTTGTGTAATTGATAATAAATTTGTGATTAGTTGATTGGATTAAAATAATTAACTTTGTGTATTTAATATATTTTCTTTTCAAATCCAAATTGTATTTATTGATAAATATACTCAATTATTTTTGTTTTATTTGCTTGCAAGTTTCTCCACTCCATATCCATAGACTGTCCTCCAGAAACCTCGCACACTTTTAACTTTATGTAGTCAAACTAGTATTTAATAATCGCAAATGTTGACCTTGGATGAAATTTTATTAGAGACTTAATTATTCGAGTTAGACAAAGCCGAATTAAGCAAGTTTGACTGTTAATGTAGTGATAACGGTATAAACCCATCCATTTGAACACAATTTGATTTATACACTGGTGATCACAATATAAACCTATCCGTATGAATACAATTTGGTTGATACTGTGGCTATGCATCATAAATTTTTACTGATTTTCTTTTAATTTTTGTTACAGGCATATAAGAATTTTGGAACACGAGTTGGTAACCTGAAGAAGCGTTTAGATGAGTATAGGAAGCTGATTCCTAATGACTCATTAAGCCCTATCCCATCACCTTCATCTGATGCTCCATCACCTGGTACAACATTTAAATTTCTTTTGTAATTTATTCATTTGTTATAACATTTTGAGAAGGTTGATTAAATTGGTATAATCAAAAGATTAACATCAACATTACAAACATTTATGTACATTAAAACAAATTAATTGCCTTATAGAATTGCTCATGTAAATATTGTTTATGAGAAGAAAATTCAGATAGAACATTGGAAAGAAATCTCATTGAGTAAGTATTTTATCCTTTGGGTTAACACTGTTATAAATTTGCTGTGACAGATATCTTGGTAGTGTAATTTAGGGCATTATTTCTGCAGGTGCTACACCTCCAAGGGATCCAAACCAAGACACAACTGAATTGGAAGATATGGACATGTCTGAAGATGACGATACAGATTCAAAAAATGTTGGATCCGTTGTGGGTATGTTTCTTTTTTTTTTCAATATTGGTTTGATGGAAGCAGTGGTAAAGAATGACTTAGGAGCTCACTGCTGGCAAAAGATGTAAAATATTTATATATTTATTTGTCATATCTTTTAGTCTTTATGTTTTAATTATATTTTTATATTCTGTGGTCTATTTTGTAAATACTTACCTGGATAAACCGACTAATTGCCTATTCTTTCTCACACATTAGAACACCCCTCAAAAACAAAATGGAACAGTCGGCCCTGGCGCCAAGCACAACCGACCCCGCGACAATGCTTCTTCCTCCTTCTTATTTTTATATTCTATGTTTAACTAAGTTTGTCATTTTTAGTGTTTTAAGCAACTAGCAAACAAATTTCATTGTTCTAGAACAATAAAGTATTCTTGATTCTCAAAAATATCTAGGCCTATATTAAGAGGCCATCTAGGCCTATATTAAGAGGCCCAAACACTTAAACAAGTGTTTGCATGGGTAAGACCTGGCCCAAAGCATCAAAGATTCATAAGAGTTTGCACTCAGTAAGAGGCAAATGGATATTTTTTTTTCTGGAGAGCTTTCCAAAAACTACATGATGAGAAAATGTTTTTGACATTCATGTCAGATAATACATTTATAAACAAGTGTTTAGCATTCCTTATTAAAGGCCAATTAAATAAGAAACAGAACAGTGCAATAATAAAGCATTAACAATTGTAAATTGTTACTTGAGTTGACTGAAGGATAAAGCTTTATAAAATTCTTTGTATGGTTTCTATAGCAACAACATCCAGGCCATCAAGGAGCAAACCTGTGACATCATCAAAGAAGCAGGCCCCTCTTGCATCACTACCTGGACCTCCTACTGTTGGACAACCAATCTCAACCATAGCAGGTAAGCATTATTAATCATGCCCTTTAATGAGAATTGATGTACTGAGTGGAAATCTGTAGTTTGGTGAGTGTACAGAATATAAAAACAAGATAAAAAAATTTGTATTATTTTTTTTTTCTTTCTTGAAGGGCAAGTTGGAAAGTATGCTGATGAAACACAAGAATCTTATTCACCAGGATCAAACACATCTGCCCCCTCACCTATAGGTACCCCAGAAGGTTTAAACCTGTCCCCAAACAGCAGTCAGACAGCCCCAGAAAGCAACATCTACGTCAATGACACACCAGCTCAGCCAACTGCTTCTTACCAAGCGACAGCACAAAACCTCCTTCCCCAGATCCCATCTCCTGATCTTGCCCCCTTTCCTGCACCTGTAAATCCATTGCCCACAAAAGTTGCCCCTGTTCCTCCTGTTTCTTACACCTCTGCCAGCAGCTCTACATATAGTATGTATACTCAAGCTACACCTGTACAGTACTCATCTACATATGCACCTCCTTCAACACCTACAATTAGTACACCAGAGTCTACAGCCCTTTATAGTTCTAACACATACTATCAAAATGAAACAGCTGGAAGTACAGGGTATTCAGCCACGCCCATTAATACACCTTCACAACCGACAACATCTGGTATATATTCACAGAACTATACACCATCAACATATAACGCTCCTCCATATTACGCTCAGCAATCCAGCCAGGAGGGGGGTTACTCAACGGCACAGACAACCAGCAATCAGTACAGTCCACCTGCTGCAACTGATCTATATTCTCCAACCATGCCTACACCCCAGCAATCAAGTTTCACAGCCACAAACTCATACAATCCTACGGTGCCACCCCCTAACTATGGGACAAATTACACTCCAACTGCTCCAAATCCACCACCTCCTTTACCGCCAGGAGATTACAAGCCAGCACCCCCACCAGTGGAGGAAACATTTGTGCCATCCAACACGCAGAACCCAACAGATGTTAATTATTCAGATCCACAAGTTGAATATCAGACACCAGGTTTCCAAAGTGGAAATGATAATTACGGCAACTCTCAAAGCCAGTATGGGACTGAGAATTATAAACCTTATGATAATCAAAATACTTCCTACCCAGGCAATAACAGTGGGTATCAACAGACAGGCTACACTCGCACAGATGAAACTCATACAGGCTTTAACTCAGGCTCAACTTTGGATAGTCGGAACGAGCGAGAGCTGATGCAGCAGGCCAAGACAAACCCAATTGGATTCTTAACCAGGATTATTACAGCCTCAAAACAGCCTCGTAACACCCCAAGATCAAATCTCCTAAACAACCTTACTGCTTTAAAGACAGTGCCCACTGTTGATGATCAAACTTTCAAAACAAAATCTGAATCTGAAAGAAATCTCCAAAATATTGTGTCCGATCATCCAACAGAGGTTGATATGGTTGAAGAGAAGTCAACAGGAAGTTTAGATGATAATCAAGAAGCTATGGAAACACAAACAAAGCCACGCTCAATATTGAAAAGGCGACAAGCTCCAGAGGTCATAAATACAGATTTGGAGCCACCAAAAAGAGAGAAAATTCATGAACCTCCTAAAATAAAATCATCTCATTCAATCGCATTAGGTGCATTTCTGTCTTCACTTCAACAAGATGATGATGATGATGATGATGAAGATGAGGATGAAGAAGAGGATAAAAAATATGAAAAAGAAGATGAAAAAGCAAAATCAGTTAATGTAAATGAACCAGAAGAGGAGTTTCCAAATGCTGTGAATGTTGTTATACCAAAGACTGAAAACTCGCCTTCCATTGTGAATCAACCAATGAAAACAGATGAAATATCCACAATAAAGAATTTGGGAGATAAACCACTATCAGGTTTAACACATCGACCACCACCTGGTCCTCCACCTGGCCCACCACCTGTTAATGCAAAACGTGGCCCACTTAACATTAATCAAATAAACCCGGTGAAATCATTAGCGAAGGATACAGTCAAAGAAGCACCAAGGTTGATGAATATTGAGCCAACGCCGATACCAGTACTTGGAGCGCCAGTCACTAAACCAGTCTTAAAACGCAGACTAAGTTCTGTCGTCGTTCCCGCCAAAAACTATTCAGAGGATAATGATTGGGAAACTAACAACACAAAGCCTGACTATCGAGATGACTATTACCAATATGACTCAATGGAGTATGGGCATGATAGGGGCAGGTACGATGACTACAGGCAAAGGCGCCGTCCAATGGAAGCAATGGAGTATCACCGACATCAATCACATGGTGGTGGCCATGGTGGCCGGTACGAGGATAATCGATATCGGTATGATAGAGGGCAACCTTACTATGACTATGGTACACCACAGCAACATAGGCCGCCAGTACGAGGTGGTCGACCGCCCCCTTATTATCGCTATTAACTGAACATTTCTTTTTTGTGAGAAGATAAACAAATATTTTAGAAAACAATGTTTCATTGAGTTTAATTTATGCTTGCTTAAAGTAGAATTTTTACTGGAATTTTGTGGGTTTCCAAATGTAAATATCTTAACCTTACAAAGTTGTATAAAGTACAAGTATTATGAAACCTGATACCCTGACCTTTGACATTTGTAGATTAATCATTTTTAAGTCCCATTAAGACAGTATTTGCTTATAAATTGAGAACTAGTGTGAATACAGTATATAAAAAAATGTACTTTTTTGGAAAGGCTAAAGGTTCCTGCTTGAACTTTGAAAAGTAGGAAGTGAATTGTTTGTATAAAAAAAGAAAATGTTGTTTGATAAGTCAAAGTTAAAAATAACTCATGATTAATTCATATTTGTGTTTTGTTTAGAAATATGTTTTTTGTAATGGCAAAGTAAACTTATGTCGAAGGTTGAATAATAGTACACAAAAAATAATCATTCTGAAATTGGTTTGGCACGCTGTTCCATTTGGTTATGATCATTCATGAGAGGATATGATTAATAATGAGTGGTTATGATTATCCCTAAGTGATAATGATTATGGTAGGTTACAATAACTCTTGATTTGGTACAATTATTCATGAGCAGTTATGATTATTTGTGAGTGGTTATTATTATTCATAACAGTACATGATTATGAATGCTCATGATGTGTTTATCAATGTTGTTGGTTAAATTTATTTAATGCACTTTTTGTGAGGTAGTCTGGCCTCGAGATATACTAGTAGAATCATTTCTGAATTAAAATACAGAAGAATGTTTTGGTGAAATAAGTCAATGTTTCAAGATCAGCAATTACAAAGCAATGTAGAATTCACATTTTTATAACATTAATAAGAATCTTTTTTATTTGAAATTATGAACTATTCTATTTTTAGTAAACACTTTGTTCTTGCTATATTTTGCAATGCAATGCCCTTGTTAAAATGTTTTTCCATTTGATGACATCATCTGTGATTTTGAGCCCATATTCATTGTATATGTGTTGAAAGTTGGTAAACATTCTGAACTGTGTGTAGCCTCGATACACTGAACGTATAGAGTTCTTGTCCACTCTCATTAAACTGAGATCTTGCATATGAGCTAATGTAATATGATGAAATCATAAATATATGTGAATTTTAGTTTGCACCAGTCAGATATTTCTAATGGAACAGTTTTTTCATCATTACCTGTATTTTCACAATATCTAGAATACATTATGTACATGTTTATATTCTTTCTAAGGAATCACTTCAAATGGTTATAAGTATGTAATGAAGAAATGTACATTTAAAGGTAACCAATGTGAAAATCAGTAAAACGATACAAAGTTTTGAAAATTACAATTCATTTGAGTGTACAACATTTGAGTTCCATAAAATTCTTATTTTAAATATTACAGTATATCTGATTGTTTTCTGCAAACGTTTTTATTGTATTGACGCGAATTGCGGTTTGTGGTCTATATCTGATTGTAATTTACATTAATGTTTCCATATTGTTAATTGTTATTCATATGTCGAATATCAACAAATCTTACATCAAACAACAGTGATCAAGTAAACTATTTTGCAATAGGTATACGAGGATTTTAAAGAAGATAGGATAGGCCTTCCCTCCTCATCTTGTAAATAATTTATGCCCATGTCTCCTCAGGAAAATTTACAAATTCGTTCCATTCACGGGTGTAGGAGAGGACTTGCATTTGGTGGGGATGGACATTGTTTTTTAAAACTGAAGTTATTATCTCAAGCCTTCTGGGGTTATATTACCCATAGAAAAATCAAAAAATTTTACATCAAACAACAGTGTTCAGGTATACTTTTTTTTATAGACGATAAATACCTGAATAGTGTATGTTTCTCCAGCACCTCAATTCCCACCCCTCCCGGAAAAAGAAACATTGAAATGCCAGGGATGAGTTTACAACAGAATTCTATCAAATAGGGCTTCTTTATTTAATTATTTGAATCATCTTTCTTTGTAATTCCGATTAAAATAGAATTTAAACAACTACCCATAGTCACCTCCACGATGCGTCGTTGTATATAGAGCAAAATTATTCCATATTGGTAATGGTGATTCCATCTATCTACTTGATTTTGAATGAGCGTGAAATATAGCTATTAAACTACACAAGTAGGCATACTTATATTGGAGTTATTTCTACCCCGCCCATGCGATGGATAGGTCAATCACCCTCTCGGTCACGTCTAGTCTGAACAAAGTAAAGTGGAACTTTTTTCTTGTGCTTTTTTGGCACTCTAAAAAAAATGCCCTTCAGAGTTTTGCTCCAGTCAGACACCCTTTCAGTAACGTACGGTATTTAAATACCCTCCCTACTGAATGGATATCCTTGAGAAACCAGTTAACATTACAGCATTAAAACTTGCGAACCAATCGCTTCAGGTAACATAGCTGTATATTTCAGGGGCGAATTTAGTGTGGGTGGGGGCGACCTCAGAGGTTATTTTTCTAGAAAACAAAAATTTTGCGGTGGCATGCCCCGGACCCCTAGAGTGGTGTCATCTTGATCGGCCCCCTTTCGGAAATTTATGGATCAGCCCCTGTATTTAGATGTGTGCTATTGAGGTGCTGCCATATTTAAACTAGTAAAAGTGCGCTCGTTACTACTATCACAGGATAATTTAATTTTACAGAACACTCAGCCGTACTACAACGAACTGAAGAAACTTATCACTTAGCATTGTATTTCCAGTCGAATAGGCCTAAGTTTATATCTAATAGATCTATATTGGAATGTGTGCAATACAATATAAATAATAGACCTAATAGGGGAGAAGTGAATTATTCCGTTCATAAAATTACGATAAATTTGCTGATCATTGATAAGCTCTGCGTGACCACGATGATTACGGTATATAAGGCCTAGTATATCCTGCTCGGCGTTTAACATTTTGCGTATTTTCTGCGTTGTAACTGTACGGAATCGTTTTTTATATAGGCCAATTGGATGAAGTAATTTTTGTACGTAACGAAGTTCCATTGTGGATTTAGACGAGGTCATGTTGATGACGATATAGGCCGTGTTAAGGCGTAGCATGACCTAAGTAATTTCGATCCCAACATATAATCAATTTCTGATCCTTACTTAAAACAAGTTATCCGTGTGTATGTTCTCTAAATATTCCGGCGAGAACGTGCACTATCATCCCGAAATTCTTCACCTATTTCCCATGAGAGTCTCATAAAATTTGAAACCCATTTCGTGACCATGCCGATGGTCGTGAGAAATGTAAATAAAAGCAGAGCTAACATAGTTAGAAATTATGATTGTCCGATACATAGGCACCCTTTAAGAATGTTGCTACGAGCATTTGGATAAAACGTTTCAGAGAATGTAGGCCTAATTGTTTTGTTTTCGTTTTGCCGTCGATATTCGAATATCGACGGCAAAACCAGCAAGCCCAGTGACCATGGCGAGGCGGTGTCGCGTCATTTTGCTTCCTTAATTGCCTATTTATGTTATCCGAGCTACAAGTCCGTGATTTTCTCCTTTTACCACCAATTCCGTAAATGAAAAATTTGCTTTTTGGTTTGTAATCAGTGTTTTGTAGGGTGTGTTTTTAATATATTTATTAAATATTACCTTGTGTCTACCTATAATAATTCATTTGCGCTCGTAAACGATCGAAGTTAAGGAATATATTATATAGCACATCAAAATGACTAGATGACTACTGGGAGGAGTCGCAGTTTGGTGGCAGGGTGATTTTGCCTAAAGTTGACAATGTCTAGGATCGTGGACGGAAATTCTGCATTGTGCTTCCGTCGACTTCATCGTTGAACCCGTAATTTATACTCTCTGTAGCTAGGTGTGAGTAGCGTCGGCCGCGCACACGATTCTCATCGTGAACTACGCGACAACGCCGCCGTCCGTCTCTTTATGGCACGAGACCAACCGTCGCGTCGGATAAGCACTCATCAGACACAGAAACGACAAATAATAATAATATAAAAATCTCAATCGTATTCATCAGTGTTAATTCTGAATTTATTGTATTCATTGAAGGTGCCAATGATTATTTCCCTAGATTAAGTTTAGTGGCGAATCCCGGGGAAGGGGCGCGAATGTCGATCGAAAAACCATTGTAAGGTAGGCCTGCTTGTCCTTTGGTCCTTGTTAACTTCGTTCTTGTTTCCTTTTTTCTTGTCTGTTTTTTCGTTTTGGTTTTCCGTTACTTCCGTATGTTATGTGTTGCTCTGGTCCCTGTAAACGTCTGTTGTTTCTGTTTTTATGAAAAGTTTTGATGTTTTTTTCTTCCTCGCCTAATTGATTATGATGTGTAATGTAATAGTGATGTTAAATTTCCTTTGTATCTGGTTGGTTATTTGGTTTTTGTACGAAAAGAGCAATAAATAAAAACAAACAACAAACTTGTCTGAAGGAGGCGAGATTTGGATGTTCCCTTACCTAATTTAGATGCTTCCTGGGTTCATAGCCTTGAAGATCCGCAGTTTTAGTCAAACCTGGATTTCTGTGGCTGTTAGCCTGGGTAAAGATTCATTTTGCCAAAGTAATATACTGTAATTAACTTGCCTAACTATTATCAAACCAAACTCGGTCTAACTGAGGTTTGTATTTTTCAGGTGGAAGGTAGACTTCCCGACTTTCAGCTATTGTTATTTTTTAATAATTGAAAATGATTGTTTAAAATTGTTAGGGCCTATAGGGTCTAATATTCAAATAATTTATCGTATTTTGCCTTCAAGGATTATTGATTATAACACAATTATATTATATCTGTGCTATGTAAATATACGTGTGTATATTATGTTTATACATTTTATAAGGAAAATAAATTGTTTTATTTTGTGATAAAATTGTGTTATCATTGGTATTACTTCTTCCGTTGTTTTATTGCCATATAGCAGCAAAATTACGTCGTAATTATGTACGAATAAATTATTTATAAAAAATTGCATATCAGGACGTTTTTAATTTAATCTTCTATTTTTGTTATAGTTTGCCGTAATTATGAGAGCAGGTATATCTTTGAAGAGAGAAATAATTATAATATTTTAGCAGCAGAGTATCTACAACTGCAATATTTCCGCGTGCCTTATCTTTTTTTGACTGAGAATTATTTTGTAATCAGAAGATATAAACGGTAAACGACGACACCTTTATAAAGCTGTAGTGTTATTGATCTAAATAATGAATGACCTTTGCGGCAAAACATACAAGCCAGGAAATGAAACTTTCGTAACACGGAACATCAAATTCACAATGTCTCCAAACTTTGTCAACTGAAATAGCGCCCTCTAAATGTATTTTTGCCGCTGAAGTATTTATATAAGAACTCACAAATCACGGGAGAAAAAAAAATCTCTAATCTCTACAATTTGTGAGAAATCAATTAAATAAACCCTTCGAATCCCCAACGTGTTTTGTGTGTTCTGGTGACGCCACCCACGTTCTCCCACCCAC